CTAAGCCCTCTATCACCTTGGTCACCCTGGTTGCTTGTGAGCCAAGATTGTGCCATTGCACTCCAGCCTGGGTGACAAAGGATAACTCCAAAAAAAAAAAAAAAAAAAAAAAAAAGGATAACTCATGACTTGGCAAGGGGCTCTAGTTCCCTGCTATAATGCTGCAGCCAGAGGCCATTCAGATAGGTGGGCCCTACTGTGCTGGTTGATACACATTTTGAATGTCCTTCCTGGCATTAGGTTGTAAAGATATGAGGAAGATGTGATGCCTGTTTCAAGGTTCACATGCAAGTCTTTCTTTAAATAATGTTATTGCACCCCACATAGCCTTTGAGTGGAGTTGATGCACTTAGTGCTTCAGTAGAAAGAAGCCCTAAGAAAAGTTAAAGGTAGATAGTTAAAGGGGGATTGACCTTCCTGAAATAATTGTCCAGGGGTTGGGAATTTACATTTATACCACCATTTCAGGTATTTTTTATTTATGAAGGAATGATTAGTCTAGAGTAGTGTATGGGGTTATTTCAGCCTGTTATATCTGCAGGATACTAAGACACAGACATCAGTACTGCTTCTCAGGGCTTCTCTGTGAACCACCTGCATCAGAATCTATTCACATGGGGGCCTGACATACAGATTCCTGGGCCTCATTCTGACCTACCGACTCCATCAGCAGCCCAAGTGATTCTCACACATATTAAAGTTTGAGATTACCAATATATAGCAGAAAACCAAGTTCCTCTAGAACAAAATATTAAATTCTGATGTGTCGAGACCACCAGGGATTGCTCTAAAGAGTTTGGTGTATTTCCTGCACAGGGGAAATTGCCCCATCCAGACCTGGCTCCACTCTTGAGTTCTTTTGTCCTCTTCTGCTCTTTTCCTGGTGCTCTTTTTTCTTGTGGGGTGTGGGTAATAGAACAGCCATGGGCTTTTGGGGACCTTTAACTTTTTTTTTTTCTTTTGTTTATAAAAACACTAAACATTCAATTCCAGAGAACCAAAAATCCCACCTTCCCACCGAACACTGCTAAGGGGCCTGTGTTCTGCTTCATACCTTTTCTCTTTTCTTCCTGTCTTGTTAATGCTTTTAAAAACAAATGAGTTTTTTATATAAATAAAGTTTTTAAAGTGTTAAAAAAAAGGAGTTTGGTGTGTTTCAAATGCATGCTGTTAGATAAAATTTCTAGATCTTATTTGATGGATAGGTAATCTTTTGAAAAGGTGTTTATATTATTGAAAGACAATAATATCAAAAAGTAAATGAGAAGATGAAAGCTAAAGGAAAAATAAATGAAAAACTAGAGTAGAAAATATAAGAAAGTCATAGGTAAATTTAAAACTTAAAAATGTATATATGCCATGATGTCCTGTGCAGTTATCACTGATTGGACCTTGAGCTTTCTGGCAGCCAATGCAAAGAGGGAAATGCTGTGACTCACCATGCCCATAAGGTACAGACAAATTAGGCACCTGAGAGGCTCAGATATTCCTGGCTATGAAACCTCAGAGCAGTATCTCCTGAGGGGGACATTGTGTAAAAATGCCTGTCAAACATCTGTACAGTTAATACGATGGAGTCCATGAATCTGTTTCTTACAATATCTCAAAATGTGGGGTGACTCACTCAAGATGCATTTCAGTAAAAGCATTTCATTAAAAGTAAAAGCAATGTAAGGCCTCCTTACATTGAATAAGAACACTGACAAACAGCAGGTTACTTAATTATTTTTGGAGCTTTAAATATATATTCCACATGCTATGTGAGACAGTAAATGAATTTTGGTTTTATTAAATCATTACATAAAAGAGGGACTGAGTTCAATTATCTGAATTCCTAGTTAGTAATTAGGAATCAGATAATTTCTAATTATCTGAATACCTGCTTCAGAACCCAGCCAAAGTAAAAGGCTGGAATGTCATTTTTAAATTCTATGATTCAATAATTTATTGTATGTTTAAAAATGACTGAAAGAGTATAATTGGATTGTTTGTAACACAAAGAAAGGATAAATGCTTGAGGTGAGGGATATTCCATTTAACCTTGTGTGATTATTACACATTGTATGCCTATACCAAAATACCTCATGCACCCACAAAAATTGAAAATTAAAAAAAAAAACAAAAACACAATCACTTTGTGCCAAAAAAATTCAGGCATACAACAGTCTCACACCACCCTATTGACACTGACTTTTTTTCCTTCTTCAACAGATGTTTGCAAGAGTTCTATTAAATACATTTCATTCTGAAAAAAATTAATGATTCATATAGGAATATATTATGGTAGTACTTCACCTGTCTTAAGCTCAACCATCACCCAGCAGTCTGAATTACTGAGAATGTACTTGAAAACCCAGAAGTAAGTTAAAATGTCTCCCTAAGGAATTAAATAAAGGCCTCTGACTACAAGAGAGTAACTCAGGCTTATTACACATAGCAGAACCTCTTCACCCCCACTCAGATGTCATTATGCTTATTTGACAACCTAAACCCAACAGACTTAGATGCTTAATTTTTCTTTTGTTTTCTTTTCTTTTGAAATGGAGTCTCTCTATAGCCCAAGCAGGAGTGCAGTGGTGCGATCTCGGCTCACTGCAACCTCTGCCTCCTGAGTTCAAGTGATTCTCCTGCCTCAGCCTCCCGAGTAGCTGGGATTACAAGTGTGCACCTCCACACCCAGCTAAGTTTGTATTTTTAATAGAGACAGGGTTTTGCCATGTTGGCCTGGCAGCCAGACTGGTCTTGAACTCCTGGCCTCAAATGATCTGCCCTCCTCAACCTCCCAAAGTGCTGGGATTATAGGCATGAGCCACCACACCCAGGAGGGTTGCTTGATTTTTCAAATTGGAAATAGATTAAACACTGGAAAGTAAAAATAACAAAAAGGGGCTCACTGATAGCAGCTACAGCAGCATCCTCAGCCTGATGGCAAGTAATCTTCCTGTTCTTTGAAGAAAAGAAAAATTTGATTTGATACCTACAAGGAACAAAGATGAAATTTCAAAAAGCAAAACAATCTGGGGTCGTTTATGACAGATAACAAGTGGCTCTATGAACTTCAACAATTATTAAATGCCACATGAAGTTTTTGGCCCAGTACAACCATTCATCTTTGTCTACCAAGCCTGGATCATCAAGAAAGTGTTAGATTGTTTCATAATGTTCTTTTTATGGTGTTAAAGACATTTAGAAACATTTCCATTCAAAATATTTTGTCCAAAAAATTTTAGTAATTTAAGAGACAAAGCCTTCTGCTAGCAGAAGACAAAGCCTTCTGTAGGAAACCCAGCTAGCATTTCTAAATGGCCAATGTTTTCCTAAAATGATTTTCTAAATATATCAACTGAGGCCACTTTGGAGAGATTCTTAAAGTTGATTTCTGGTGTCTGTTTCATTTTTTAACTTTTCACCCTTGAAGTAGCCAAAGTGAGAAACTGAGAACTTTTTCTCTTGAAAAAGCTGAAAGGTCTGTCTTAACAAATATTTTAATTGTTGAAATAATCTTCTGAGAAGCTGAAGCAATTTCAGTTTCCATTATAATTTAGAGTTCTCTTGACTTTCTCTCAGCTTCAGCTGAGGAATCTCTCTGGACACTGTAAACAGCTGGCTCTCTCAGGGGCTCCCGTAGAAATGGTGCTAAAGGGAGTTGAGCAATCTTCAGCCAGGAGAACTCTTACTGGTTTTATTCCTTTCTATTCTGGGTAAGATTTCATTTAAAGAAGGGATTCTGCAGCTATTGAAAACCAAAGAAAACCCACTGTACTATGTCTTACAAGACTGTACAATTGATGAATCTCTTGAAAGACTCTAGTATCGCAGCCAGGAATGAAGTGAGAAACTGGCAGTCAGCAACCCTGGCTTCTATCCCTAGTTCTTCCATTGATGTGCTATGTGAAATAACTTAATTTCTCTATGTTCTTTTGATGTCTTCCCAAATAGAGATAAACATTTACCTTTGGGCCAGGCACAGTGGCTCATGTCTGTAATTTCAGCAGTTTGGGAGGTCAAGATGGGCAGATCACTTGAGCCCAGAAATTCAAGACAAGCCTGGGCAACATGGTGAAACCCTATTTCTACAAAAAATAGAAAAATTAGCCAGGCATGGTGGCAAGTGTCTATAGTCTCAGCTACATGGGAGGCTGAGGTGGGAAGATTGCCTGAGCCTAGGAGGTCGAGGCTGAAGTGAGCCGTGATTGTGCCATTGCACCCCAGCCTGGGCAACAGAATGAGAACCTGTCTCAAAAAAAAAAAAAAAAAAATTACCTTTAAGTGAAAATTTTAAAATACGTGGACAGAATGATTTGCTCCTCCTCTTTATAATGTTATATTTCTACGTATTGTTATATTTCTGTAACATGTATTGCACAATTAGGTTGTTGGCCTCTTCCACTAGACAGTGAATCCCCTGAGGACCAAGATCCCCACCTTCTTGTGTATGTAGCATCTGAGCCTCGGAGTGCCAGGCACACTGTGGTATTAGTAGGCATTTCCAAAATGGTGGCAGGGTTTTCCTTGAGTGCAATTTGTGGGTCTGTTTTCCACAGGTCTTGGTTTGACTAGTGCTTCGTCTACTTATTTGGTTGAAGGCCCTCCTCAGGTCCTCCTTCCTGGAACAATGGAGCACTGATTCCTGTCCCTTCCGCAAAGGAGAAATGGCCCCTCAACACTAATAAGTTGGAATGCTGAAACAGTGGTGGGGACAGGTGGGCAGATTCCTGTGACTGCAATATCGTGCAATTGTTTTCTGCCTGAACCTCAGGTTCTCTCCCACCCAGGAGACACTCAGGAGGCATAATAATTATTTCTGCCATTTTCCAGGACTGGCTTACTAAAGCAGAATTGCATTATGTAATTATGCATAATGATACTATGATACTAGAATATTTGAACAATCAAGAAAAAAGACCTTTAACCCTACCCCTCTAACCCAACTATTTTCTTTTTTCCATATTCCCTTTCAATATTATCTATGTAGATATTTATATTACATTGTTTGTATATTTTTGGTTCTACCTAACATCATATAAATAAAAGTTTTCCATATCATACACACTCTTCTTTTAAATCATCAGTGTTAACAGGTACACTTGCCAGCAGATAGATAAAACTATGGTTTAAATAGCCTCTTAATGTGTGGTTTTAGACATCAAATCTGTAATAGCTAAACCTAGTTTTGCCATTGCTTCAGGAAGTGACAGCTAAAACTAAGACAGAGATGTATCAAAACATGGATGACGAAATGAAGAGAGAGCACTTGGCTGCAGAACAGCGCATGGTCCACAGAATCCAAAGGATTATGATGGAATGCCACAGAGAGAAGGTGGAAGCTGTGGAGAAAGCCAGGGCTGAAGAAAGACTCATCGCCCAGAAAGCAATCCAGGCCCAGAAAAGGTATTCCAGAGAACTCATTTGCAAATTAGTATCTTCCTTTATCAAAATCAACCTGGAGAAACAGATAAGGTTACAGTACATAGGTAGATGTTGCCCAGTTTTTGTGTTTTTACATTTTTATTATGGAAAATACCAAACATAGGGAGCAATTTATATTGTAGAGTATGTGTGTGGCTTAAAGAAAAATAATAACGTAAATACTCAAAAACTTACCACTCAGCTTAAGGGATTGAAAATTGCTGTTTTCTAAAGCTCTCATGTGTTCTTCCTCAATCATATCTTCTTCTTGTCCCTGCTTGAAAGATAGCTAGTCTCTAAATATGGTATTTTTCATTCTGTATCACCAGTTTTAAGAAACCGAGGGCAGGAATCAAGAAATCGTTTCCCGTAAACACATCATTAAAATCAATCTTCACATTCTCTAGCCTAGATCATACACTATTATGTTTGTGTTACTTTTTGGTCTTTTTCTTATTATACAAGTAATATATGTTGCAAAAGAAATTGACATTATGGAAATATATAGAGCAAAATTGCAAGTCCTGATGCATTTCTTCCCCTGCACCCTCCCTGCCTCCCAGAGACAGTTATTTTAAACAATACAGTCTATATCCTTCCATGCCCTTTTGATGTGTTTACAGCCATATGTATGTGCATAATCACAGATCAGATCACACATATATATATTTTAAGACAACCAAGGTAACTATTTCTATATATGTAATGATTATTTGCTGGAACAGGACAGCAGTTAGGAGTTCAGGGATTGTCAGGGGCAAGAGAAAAAACGTAATTTCCAGATTTTTTTGTACCAGGTCATTTACCTGCCCATGATCACTGATTTGTAGCAGCAGAGCTGAGACTGAGACCTCCCTATTTGGCCTTTGTGACTGGTCCCTTTTGCTTTGCTGCTTGAGTTAACAAACAAATCCATTTCTATATAATTAATGGGTAAAATCTTTTTCATTAGAACTCTTTAGAACAGGGACACAGGTAAGATCCTGGAGGAGGTACAGATAAATGAGAATGAGAGCTGCAGCTGTGACAGTTTAACTGGTACCTCTCTTCCTGCATAGACTACAGGTCATTGTGGAGGTAGAAGACGAAGATGAGAGGGGATACCAGGAGGGGGTTAGGGAATGAGTCGTGGCTCAATGCACTGGAAGGTGGATCCTCTTTTCCTTTTTCTCCTGCCGGGCATCTGCAGGAGCTCTGCAGGCACTCGTGGGACCCTCTGGGTCCCTTCCTCACACACACTTGCGGTCTCCTCCCTCTCTTGCTAGATTGTTTTTGCACCCCCTCCAGCCCTTTCCTCTGTGAGGTTTGATGGAAGGTTTTCAATGTCTGCCTTTTATTGAATCTGTAGACTAGGATTAAGGAACTGCCATGTGTAGTGTTAAAATATATCCAGCTAGAATGCCCATTTTGTTTATTGATGTTTCCCAAGTGCCTGGAAGAAAGTCTGGCACATGGTAGGCATTCTTGAAATATTTATTGAACAAATGGTTTAAATTTCTTGCAGTTAGTCGAAGCCACTCTTCAGCACACCAGATCTTATAAACTTTCATCAAGACTTAAGGATTCAGAACACTTATATATCATGAGAAATTTGTTAACTATACGGAAAACTTTTTTGTGGATTGAGGTGATTAGATTCTAAACAGGTTGCCCAGGAGACACTGGACTCTTTCTCTTAAAGTTAAAAAAAAAAAAGGCTGGGGGCGGTGGCTCAGGCCTGTAATCCCAGCATTTTGGGAGGCCAAGGCAGGTGGGTCACGAGGTCAGGAGATCTAGACCATCCTGGATAACAAGGTGAAACCCCGTCTCTACTAAAAATACAAAAATATTAGCCGGGTGTGGTGGCAGGCACCTGTAGTCCCAGCTACTCTGGAGACTGAGGCAGGAGAATGGCGTGAACTCGGGAGGCGGAGCTTGCAGTGAGCCAAGATCTCACCACTGCACTCCAGCCTGGGCGACAGAGTGAGACTCCGTCTCACACACACACACACACAAAAAAGTCTCTGTTTGTAAAGGTTCTAATTGTTTTCTAGCCCAAGGCAAGGCATGAATGAAATAACCACTCAGGACTTTTTGTGGTCATGGCTGTAATTCCTACTGACAGCTTCCCTTATTCAATACCCAGCACATGCAAGGCCTTTTGTATACTCCTTCTTGTATCTGCATATCCCTTCCTAGGAGATTGTATCATCCTACATATCTTCAGGCAAAGACCCTGGAGGGTTAAGGCCTTAAAGGGAAACTAAGTAAACTGCCAAAGGTCACAGAGGAAAGAGGTGACAGGGCCTGATTTGAACCCTGGCCTTTATGATGTCAAAGCTTATGACCTTCCATTGTGCTACCTGCTCTAGAGATAGAGAAGCTATGTGAGTTTTCTAGAGGGTTTGTTCACTTCAACAGAGCTCCTCAAGTACCTTCTGTGGATGTGGCACAAATTAAGGGCTCTTTCTCAACACTGTGTAAAATCACTAGAGCATGGCTGCCCCCAACAAGCAAGGCTGGATGGACTGGTACAAATAGCACATAGGTGCTGGAAGAGTTCAAAGTCCTGGAAAGATCAAGCAGTATGGGTGGGGTATGTAGTGAGGTCGGTTTTTTGGAGGAAGTTTGTCATGGGTTGGGCCTTAGAGAGAAGGTAGGAGGTGCCACCTGTGAGAGAGGCAAAAGAATGAGAACAGAATGAGCAAAGACATGGAAGGAGAAAGCGTGATGTATAATGAGGCAGCACCAAGGGGAGGTTCAAGAGTGTTAATAACCCGGGGATAGAAATGCACTGCTGAATGCTGGCATCTGGAGATGTCCCTCACCTACCTAACTTCTGAAATGCCTGCAGCCTCCTGCCAGACCAAAGCGCCAGGAGTTCCCCATGTCCCAGGTAGAAAATCAGAATATAGGTTACTGGTAAGCACAATGCTTGTACCTGATTGAAATAGTGCTAACAGTCCTATAGTTCTAATGAAAAGTAGATTAATAGCTTATTTACAGACTAACCAGGTAAAGGATCAATTGCTAGTATGGATTTTCCATGGTTTATTTTTTCCCTATCAGTTAAGATTGAGCTATTACATATCAGATTATGATTTTATTTAGTAACTTGTTTTCATTCTCCAAGAGTCTGTTTTATAAAATATCAGACTGAATCCTGTAAATTTGGACACACACTACAACTATTTTGAAAATAGTTACTTTTCTGGCCAGTGCCACCCTGAAATACGGTGTGTATTTCAAAATTACAAGTGTACAGCCTCATAAAGATAGAGATGGCAGAAGAACCTCACTGCTTACAGAAAGCATAGACATTCACTTCACGTCGGAATGGGCATTGGGGGGGTTATGGAGCTGGACATGCCATTCCTTCTGCCAGCCAGTCATTGGTGAGCCTCCTTGATGTTGCTGGTTGAGGTGGTTGGTCCACATGCTGAACACCTCTACTTGTCATGTTCTTCCTTATGTGGATCCAGAAACTCTGGGCCTCACCTTTACCCTTGGCTTCTGGCCCTGCTGCTCCTCTGTGCATGGTGATCCTTCAAATGTTTGAGGAGAGAGAATATGTCCAAGATTTAATTTGAAGAAGGGAAGGAAAAACCAAAATGTACTAATACCTAGTTCTTTCACAGTTCTTTCTCGTATGATAAGCTTTCTAGGCCCTCTTTCAGTTAAAAAAAAAAAAAAATACAGGTAGACTAATTTATGTACATTGAAAAACATTTTACACATATCCCAAGAATTGGCTATTTTCCTATGGCAAATATTTCGCTTATGTTAAGAATCCTTTTTAAGCATGATTTTTTTTTTTTTTTTTTTAAGAGAGTCTTGCTTTGTTGCCTAGGCTGGAGTGCAGTGATGCGATCTCTGCTCACGCAACCTCTGCCTTCCAGGTTCAAGCAATTTTCCTGCCTCAACCTCCCAGGTAACTGGGATTACAGGTACTCACCACCATGCCCAGCTAATTTTTGTATTTTTAGTAGAGATGGGGCTTCTCCATGTTGGCCAAGCTGGTCTCGAACTCCTGACTTCAGGTGATCCACTTGCTTCTGCCTCCCAAAGTGCTGGGATTACAGGTGTGAGCCACCACGCCCAGCCTCATGAATTCTTTTAAGCTTTTGTAATGTTCCAACATATCTGCTTTAAAATTTAGTGTTATTCAGCACAACATGTATTAGAGAGAACTTCATCTGTATTACCCACTTATTCATTCATACATTTATTGATTGCCTGTTGTATCCACAACGGGCACCACGCAAGGCAGGGGAGATACAAAGATAAATGGACATTCCAGGTCACACCCTCGATGCACTGCACCCCACACCACTCCTGGCTTTAATTCCACAACTTCAGGGAACTCATCAGAATGAAATTCAGAGTCGCTCAGACCTTAAACCAAAGGATCAAATATTCAAGCACTAAGGCAGGCTGGGAAAAGTTGGGTCTGGGCGCAGCGGCTTGTGCTTGTAATCCCTGCACTTTGGGAGGCCGAGGTAGGAGGATCACTTGAGTCGAGCCTGGCCAACATGGCAAAAACCTGTCTCTACAAAAAATACAAAAATTAGCTGGGCATGGTGGCACATGCCTGTAGTCTCAGCTACTCCAGAGGCTGAGGTGGGAGGATTGCTTGAGCCCAGGAGGCAGAGTTTGCAGTGAGTCAAGATGGTGCCACTGTACTCCAGCCTGGGCAACAGAGTGGGACCCTGTTTAAAACCAAAAAAACGAGAAGAAAGAAAAGTTGGAAAGATTTTTAAAGTACCAGATTCTGTATAGCAGTAAGATATTTTGATATCAGGGAGTCTGAAAGGGACTGTCATTGAGGTTGGGAGCTGGAGTCATCTGAGATATACGTTATTGGATCAGTTTTACCTGAGCTCAATTCTGGTGGAGCCTTCCAGTTAGCCCATAAATGAAACCTCCCATTTGAGTGAGAGGAAAGTCAGCCCCACCTGGCAGGAAACTCATGCCTGCTTGTGTCAGAGGACACAGGCAGCACAGCTTCCTCTTTGGAGATTGGTCCCTGGTCATCACCCTGACAATCTCATCGACAGCCTGAGGATGTTATCAGACATCAGACTAAATCCTAAGAATGTGTGTCGATGCACACTGCCCACTCTATACACAGCATCACTTCTATTAATGGAACCTCCATTCCCCTGTGACCCAGGTGGAAAATTAGCAAGTTGGTTTCGATTCCTCTTTTTCCCACATCCCCTGTATCTTTGCAGTCACAGATTCTGGCAGCTATGACTTTTTAATATTTCCTAGGCTTAACCCTTTCTCTTCCTCTTCCCAACCCTCTCTTTTGTCATTAGTTCAGACCCTCATCGTTGCACCTCAAGAATATTATGAAATGATACAATTGGTCTCTCTAGCTCACCCCACTAAGATTCAGTTCATCCACTGTTACCTGAATAACAAGTCTAAAATGTTATTTTCATTGTGCTGCCCTCCTGACAAAAAATTTATAGTGCCCACTCGAGCTTGAAGCAGGTAATGATTAAGGGCAGGAACTCTACAGCTTACTCAGTTGTGTGACACTGAACAACTCACTCTTCTCTAAGCCTCCATTTCCCACCTGTTACAAGGGAATAGTCACAGGTTATAAATAAAAATAGGCCGGGCACGGTGGCTCACACCTGTAATCCCAGCATTTTGGGAGACCGAGGAGGGTGGATCACTTAAGGTTAGGAGTTCAAGACCAGCCTGGCCAACATAGTGAAACCCTGTCTCTACTAAAAATACAAAAGTTAGCCGTGTGTGGTGGTGCACACTTGTAATCCCAGATACGTGGGTGACTGAGGTAGAAGGATCCCTTGAACCTGGGAGGCAGAGGTTGCAGTGAGCCAAGATGGTGCCACTGCACTCCAGCCTGGATGACAGAGCAAGATTCATCTCTAAATAAATAAATAAAATATCAGCTTCAATGGGTTATTGTGAAAATTAAATGAGATATCATGCATGTAAAATGCTTACCACAGTTCCTGCAATACAGTAAGCACTCAATAATCATTACCCTTGTTATTAATATTGGAAATAGTTGGTGGGAAAAGGAAGAAGAGAAATAGTTTAGTGGCTACAGAGGCTAAAGAAAGATGTGATTTACTTCAAGACTAGGGAAGTCTGTCAGGTTTGAAAGTCAAGTGGAAAGACTCAGAGAAGATGAGAGAATTGCATCTTGGAGGGTGGAATGTAGGAGATTGGGTCAGTGGTAAATCTTGGAAAGGCTGTATTAGACTGGGAGGCAGAGGGGGAGGATTTTTATTAACAATCATACATTTGAGATCTTAAAACCTCAAATCTTTGAGGTTCTGCTCAAACTGTGTTAACTGCAGAAATCCACTGGAAATGTATCACAGTGGCTAAGAGCTTTTGTCCTGGACTCAGACTGCCTGAGTTGTATTGCAGATTTTGCCTCTTTTACTTATTAAGCAAACTTAGACAAATTACTTAACTCCCTGAGCTCAATGTCTTCTTCATAAAAAGAGCATAGTAATGGAACCACACTACAGAATTGTTTTTGAGGATTCATTGAATTAATGTAGGCATAGAATGCTCATTAACCTGCTTGGACATGGTAAGACGTCAACCTGGTTGGCTGCTATAAATTATATATAATTCCCTACATTATAGCCAGAAGTCTATTAATCATTTAGCAGTGCTTCTGAATGTGTGGTCCAGAGACCCTTCAAGGTCCCTGAGACTCTTTATGGAGGCAGTCCATGAGATTAAAACTATTTTCTTAATAACACTAAGACTTTATTTGCCTTTTTCACTCTTAGTCTCCTATGAATATAAAATAGTGTTCTCCAGGGTTTTGTGATATGTGATATCACAATAAATTGAAACAGTATGAAAATTCAGCTTTTACTAAGCTGGAGATTAAAGAGTTTTGCAAAAAAAAAAATTAAAATTAGGCTGGGTGCAGTGGTTCATACCTGTAATCCCAGCACTTCGGGAGGCCAAGGCGGGTGGATCACTTGAGGTCAGGAGTTCGAGACCAGCCTGGCCAACATGGTGAAATCCCATCTCTACTAAAAATATAAAAATTAGCTGGGTGTAGTGATGCACACCTGTAATCCCAGCTACTCTGGAGGCTGAGGCATGTGAATCACTTGAATCTGGGAACTGGAGGTTGCAGTAAGCCAGGGTCAGGCTGTTGTGCTCTAGCCTAGGTGACAGAGCAAGACACTGTCTCAAAAAAAAAAAAAAGTTAAATTATACCATTCTTCTCATGAAATATTTCATCATTTTGGAAAATGTTTTTCATAAGAGATTTTTAATATTTTTAAAATGTCTCCCTTTTAGTTTATATAACTGTTAATGTCAGTACCTATAACTCGTATAAACAAAAGCTCTTTGGTTTCCTCAATAATTTTGAGAGTGTAAAGAGTTCCCGAGACCAAAAAGTTTGAGGTGACTGTCATAGAGTATTTCTCAGATAAAAATCAAGATTAAAGCTAAATCTATCCTGTGAGTATAAAGTTTTTTCATCTCTGGCTAAAGGTCAGCAGCTGGATTAATATAAAGAAATACTTTCTCTACAGAGTTTGGAACTCTGATCCTATCTCCTCATTTTTAAGCACAATGCATGTATATTTTCCTGAAAAAGGTGGTCTCAGGTTTCTAAAGTTGCCATTAGATGTTAGATTAGTGGCCTCACCCTAACCCACAGCAGGTAAGTACATAGGAAGCGTCCCTGCTCTGAAAACATGTTTTGTTTGTTAACAGCTAATGCAGTCCAAAAGCTCATCTGTATCAGCCTGTCTCAGGCTGGTGGCTCATCTCAACAATTACTCAGTCATCTGTGTTTAAAGATGAAATTATTTTGTTTTTAGTGGCCAATCCATCTAACTTATAAATCCATATTATCCTTTGTAGCAAAGCCACGGAGGAAATTGTGAATACTGGTATCACAGTTACTAAGGATGAGAAGACCAATGTGGCCCGACTGATGAGGGAAAAAGAACATGAAATGAACGTCCTCTATGGCATAGCTCAGAGGCAGAAGCAAGAAGAGGTACAGGAAGTGCTTCAAGAAGCGGAGAAAACACATCAGGCCACTCTTGGCAATGTGATGGATACACTGGCCAACACCCAGGGGGAGCTGCTGTCTATAGCAAAACAACTGGGAATCATGACAAATTGGAAAGATTTCCTAGAGGAGGAATTACAGGAAACCAGGATGGCATTTCAAAAATACATCAATTATACCTTTCCTAAGCTTTCACCAGGACATGCAGATTTTATTCTGCCAGAAAGAAAGAAAACACCTTCTAATCTTGTTATTGAGGAGAACAAAACAACTCTTGATTAGAAGTCTTCAACTGAAATTTCACTACAAAAGACATCATTCTAGACTAAATAAATTAACTCATTACAAAAACCATTTATTGATTTCCCAGCCTTGTGCAGGGTACTATTGGGCCGTAAGATTTTTCATGGAAAACCAAAATATTAAAAAGTACATTCCAGATTATAGTGAGCCAAGTCTGAGAAGAAAAAACTGTGAGAGGGAGCAAACTGATTAAGAGGGGAAAGGTTTCTTGGATGAAGCCTAAACACGCTTCTGTATCTGTCTTTATTCATTTCTACATCAGACATATAATTAATTATTTCAGTATTTATTGCCATAGAAAACAAGTAAAGGAAGTGTCCTTAGGTTTTTCCTGTTTTGGGCAGGTGTGCTAAGTTCCAGTAGAGAGATTATCATTTGGTGAATGCAGTAGCATTGTGAATTTAAAAAAGCAATTTCTCTCACATACAGTAGGATAAAATTTAAATGCTGGGACTCCCATATAAAGTAATTCAGGAAGGACTTATTGCCCACACAACAGGCAGGTTTGGTCACTTGGTGGGTGTCAACCCAATGACCACAACCAAGGAAGATTTAGCAAGGGGATTTTATTATTTATAAGGAGTAAGGAGAACACCAGGGATAGTCCCCAAAGCAGTGTCTCCCTGAGCAGGGGACTGCGTCAGGTTTTATAAGCATAGGGTAATAAGGCATGATCTGATTGGATCTTGTAATGAGGGGATGTCGGAAGGCATGATCTAACTGGATCCTGCCATGGGGTGATGTCAAAGCTCACTCCAGTTGGATTCTGGATCCTGCCATGCAATGTCCACTTCTTTAATTCAGTTCCCACTCCTGAGTCTGAGCAATTAGTTCCCTCTGTGTTTGAACACTTGGTCCATCTGGGCATGCTCAGGTTACATGACCTGAGGGTCCATGGCAACTGGAAAACAATGTACTACTTTGTTACATAAAAGTTGGGTCAGATTGGTCTGGTATGGCTACAGACTCACTTATATTTGCCAGTTGTAAAAGAAAAAAAGGTGGGAGACATTTCTCAAATCCACTTCTCTGAGAACTCAGAGGGTAAGGTTTTTAAAGGATAATTTGGCAGACAGGGAGCTGGGGAATGGGTGCTACTGATTGGTTGGGGATGAAATCACAGGAGTGCTGGAACTGTCTTCGCACACCGAGTCAGCTTCTGGGTGGGAGTTACAGGACCAGTTGATTCATTTCCTTGGTATGAGTCATGGGTCCAAGTGGTGTCAGTTCATCAGAATGCAAATGTCTGAAAAAGATCTCAAACAACAATCTTAGGTTTTACAATAGAGATGTTATCTGTAGGAACAATTGAGAAAGTTACAACTCTTGTGACCTCTGGCTACATGACTCCTGAGTAGTAAGCAAGCTAGGGAACATGGCTGGTTATCACTGAACTATGCATACGTCTTAGCAGAATTCAGGCTCCTCCCATAATTCTAACATTTTGGCCTTTCATTCATTTTGCAAAGGTGGTTTTAGTGCCTGAACTAGGAGGAGGGTAGTTTTGGGAAGGGGCAATTATCTTCCTTGCTTTAATGTTAAACAATAAATTCCTCCCATGGTTAGCTTGGCCTACACTCAGGAATGAGCAAGGGCAATAAGCTTGTGAGGTTAGAAGCAAGATGGAGTCTGCTATGTTAGATTTCTCTCACTGTCATAAGTTTTGCAAAAGCGGTTTCAGAACCCTAACCCTTCCAGCAGACATGAGCAGGGAGCCAAGAATGATGGGGAGCAGAACTGGATGCCCTTCCCTGAACATGCTGGATGTACTCTCCTGATGCCAAGCCTCACGGGTAAATGTGTGGAGGGGTACACTCTGTAGCTCCCTCCCACCATCCTAATGTCAGGAAAGACAGATTTGCCCTCAGGGTTCTGGAGAGAGACTAATTGCCTGTAGCAAAGTCAAGTGAAATAGCAAAGTCAAGTGAAATAGCAAAGTCAAGTGAAAATTGAAAATGAGTTATGTTTTTGAAATTTCATTGGGACCCTCATGCCTGATTTTCAAGTGAAACTTGACTGAGACAGAGATTAAGTCAGACTATTTTTAAAAAGATTCCCCGAGTGGGCTGGGCACAGTGGCTCATACCTCTAATCCCAGCACTCTGGGAAGCCGAGGCAGGTGGATCACAAGGTCGGGAGATTGACACCATCCTGGCTAACACGGTGAAACCTCATCTCTATTAAAAATATTTAAAAAATTAGTGGGTGCCTGTAGTCCCAGCTACTCAGGAGGCCGAGGCAGGAGAATGGCATGAACCCAGGAGGCGCAGGTTGCAGTGAGCTGAGATCGTGCCACTGCACTCCAGCCCAGGTGACAGAGCAAGACTCCGTCTCAAACAAAAAAAAAAAAATTCCCCGAGTGAACCAATTTTTAGCATAATTTGACAGAGAACAATAATAACTCTCCTTTGAGTACAATACCTAGAGAGGCCATTATAGACCTTAGATACTATGCCCCATATAAATTATTAAAGTTGTAAACATTTTGCAGAGTTACTTTAAAGAGAACTTAAAGAAGTCCATTTATCTTAGTTGTCTTAGATGCTACCTGTGCAGTAAGAGTGCATGCAGTTCACATGGTTTCTGGTAATTAGGAAGCTGTGTTAACTCCTGGAGGCCATCTGGGAAGGCCTCTAAGACTGAGGACTCTTAAGAAATTACTGCAGTTTAATTTTCTGGAATTTATGCTACCAAGACATGAACTTTCTTTTTGCAGTAAAGGAACTTGTGCGCTACGAAACAGATGTATAGCATCACTCGGACAGATGGAGAAGCCTCCATCCTAATCACAAAGCACAAGGAGTTGGGCAGTTTAGTAACCACTGGACTTTTATATCACCAAGAAGTCACTCTGATAGTTTCTTTCTCCAATTCTGATTTCATCTGACTTATTTAAGGCTTGTGTGTTTTAGGCCAGGCATAGTGGCTCACGCCTGTAATCCCAGCGCTTTAGGAGTCTGAGGTGGGCAGATCACTTGAGCCCAGGAGTTCAAGACTAGCCTGGACAACACGGTGAAACCCTTTCTTTACAAAAAGTACAAAAAACAAGCTGAGTGTGGTGGTGTGCACCTGTAGTCCCAGCTACTCAAGAGGCTGAGGTGGGAGGATTGATTGAGCCTGGGAGGTTGAGGCTGCAGTGAGCTGTGATCCTGCCACTGCACTCCAGCTTGAAAAACTATAATTAGTCTGTTTTCACACTGCTGATAAAGACATACCCAAGACTGGGTAATTTATAAAGAAAAAGAGGTTTCATGTACTCACAGTTCCACGTGACTGGGGAGGCCTTACAATCATAGCAGAAGGCAAAAGACACATCTTATATGACAGCAGATAAGAATTGGGAACCAAGTAAAAGGGGTTTCCATTATAAAACTGTCAGATCTCATGAGACTTATTCACTACCATGAGAACAGTATAGGGGAAACCACCCCCGTGATTCAATTATCTCCCACCAGATTCCTCCCACAATATGTGGAAATTATGGGAGCTACAATTCAAGATGAGACTTGGGTGGGGACACAGCCAAATCATATCATTCTGCTCCTGGCCCCTCCCAAATCTCATGTCCTCACATTTCAAAACCAATCATGCCTTCCCAACAGTACCCCAATGTCTTATTTCAGCATTAACTCAAAAGCCCACAGTCTAAAATCTCATCTGAGACAAGGCAAGTCCATTCCACCTGAGCCCATAAAAGCAGAAGCAAGTTAATTCCTAGATACAATGGGGGTACAGGCATTGGGTAAATACAGCCATTCCAACTGGGAGAAATTGGCCAAAACAAAGAGGCTATAGGCTCCATGCAAGTCCAAAATCCAATGTGGCAGTCAAATCTTAAAGCTCCAAAATCATCTTCGACTGCATGTCTCACATCCAGGTCACACTGGTACAAGAGGTGGGCTCCCACAGCCTTTGTCAGTTCAGCCCCTGTGGCTTTGCAGGGTATAACCGCCCTCCTAGCTGCTTTCATAGGCTGCTGTTGAGCATCTGCAGCTTTTTCAGGTGCACAATGCAAGTTGTCGGATTTACCATTCTGGGGTCTGGAGGATGGTGGCCCTCTTCTCACAGCTCCACTGGGCAGTGCCCCAGTGGGGACTCTGTGTGGGGGGCCTTCAACTCCACATTTCCCTTCTGCACTGCCCTAGCAGAGGTTCTCCCTGAGGGCCCTGCCCTTGCAGCAAACTTCTGCCTGGACATCCAGGCATCTCCACACATCCTCTGAAATCTAAGTGGAGGTTCCCAAACCTCAATTCTTGACTTCTGTGCACCCACAGACTCAACACCATGTGAAAGCTGCCAGGGCTTGGGGCTTGCATCCTCTGAAGCCATGCCCTGAGGTATACCTTGGCCCCTTTTAGCCATGGTTGGAGTGGCTGGAAAGCAGGGCACCAAGTCCCTAGGCTGCACAGAGCAGGGGGATCCCTGGGCCCAGACCACAAAACGATTTATTCCTCCTAGAACTCCGGGCCTGTGATGGGAGGGGCTCTGCAAAGATCTCTAGAGACATGCCCTGTAGACATTTTTCCTATTGTCTTGGTGATTAACATTTGGTTCCTTGTTATTTATGCAAATTTCTGCAGCATGCTTGAATTTCTTCTCAGAAAATGGGTTTTCTTTTCTATCTCATTGTCAGGCTGCAAATTTTTCAAATTTTTATGCTGTTTCCCTTTTAAAACTGAATGCTTTTAACAGCACCCAAGTCACTTCTTGAATGCTTTGCTGCTTAGAAATTCTGCCAGATACCCTAAATTATCTCCCTCAAGTTCAGAGTTCCACAGATCTCTAGGGCAGGGGCACAATGCCACCAGTCTCTTTGCTAAAACATAGTTTTACTCCAGTTCCCAACAAGTTCCTTATCTCTATTTGAGACCACCTCAGCCTTGATTTCATCGTCCATATCATTATCAGCATTTTGATTAAAGCCATTCAACAAGTGTCTAGGAAGTTCCAAACATTCCCACATTTTCCTATCTTCTTCCGAGTCCTCCAAACTGTTCCAACCTCTGCCTGTTCCCCAGTTCCAAAGTTGCTTCCACATT